GTCTTCTAGCGAAATACCGTAAAATCGAATACTTACAGTATGTTCCCCTAATCACCGTAACACCTACCCGTTTTTGGCGGGAATACCGTACGATTGAAGTTTTACAATAGGCTACCGTGACCACATTAATTACCGTAAGGTTCAATACCTACAGTATGCTGCCGTGGCTACAGTAGCTACCATATTTTTACCGGCGATACCGTAATTAAAGCACCGATATATTACCGTAATACAGTAACTACAGTTTCCTCGCGGGAGTACCGTACTGAAGCAAACTTACATATGCTAGGTGAGAACGTTGTAGTCACACGCATTGGTAATTACCGTAGCAAGATTTATTACCGTACTCTTGGCCACCGTACAGTTACAGAAGCATGCAGAAAACTTTGTAATACCGTAACCAAGGTATTTTCGGTTTTTTTCACCGTTTTGTACTCCTTATTTCTCATCGTTAGTGGAACTTACATTTCCCATGTTCTTTTTTGGTGCTCTAATAACACCAGTATCTGACACCACCTGTGTACTTATTAATTGCCTAGTATGCTGATACCCTGCTGTGGTTACTGTAGTTGAGAGTAGTTGAGTTACGGTAGAAGTGTCGCTGAGAAACGAACTCGGAACAAAGATAAATTTTTAAATACGTTTGATTGGAAGAATGCGCACTTACAGTAATCCACTACAGTAACTGACAGTGAGACTTCTGGTCACGTACTGTAGATCACAGGCTACGATCAGATCATAGATCACGGTATTCGCAACTGAAACATCCCCGTTGTTTCTGTCGTTCTTCTTCCCATACAAGGTAATTCGCAGCATTGTCGTCACAACGCTACAGTATCCTCCCATTTATGGTTACTTTATGAGCTAAAACTAATTGCGCTTCAAGACGCCTTGTGTGCGCATATTCCCTATTTCATTTCTTCAAACGCCATCGTTCCTTACGTCACTCTCTAAGAGCGGAACGGCGAGGGTGAGTGTATTTTATTTCTGAATAATCATCCACCCACATTATTTGCTCTTTGGATAGAAGATTCTAGCATTGAGCGACAAAAATGGAAGAGCATTTGCGTGGGTTGTGCTAGGGTGTTTTTATACTTTTCATTTGTTTGTATTTGAACATTCCATTATGCGTCAAACTGATGCAAGATTGTAATTTCACCTACGCGAATTTTGCATAAGCAGCCATTAGTACTATGTTTAGCTTGTTTTTCTCAGGTTTTGATATAACTGGTAATTTATTTCGTTTTACTTGTACAATTTATGTCCGGTGGAGGAACTAATACCGTCATTAGGCTCTGCTACCGCGGTCCACTAGTCCTTAGCCGATACGCGATGGCAGAAGCAAAAGGATTAGTGGTCCGCGAACCTAGGGCTGTTCTGCCACGGGCTCGGTTTGCAATGGTATAAAATTCTTGAGTTTCCGAAAAATTTCGACTGGCAGAATTTACAG